GTTCTTGGCAGAGTTCTCCTTTAATGCCCACCAGACCTGCCAGGAAAGATCTCTTCTACCTGTCATCAGAGGGTTTCCTGTGCACATCAGAGGGGGAAGAAGGAACTATATTCTTTGAGCTACAGTAATTTTTCACTCTCTCATATAACGGTTTCACAAGTCTTTAAAATGGATAATTTCTCTGAAAACATTTGCATATTTTTTAAAAAGACCTGAGAAAAAAAGGGGGGGCTCTCCATGTGTTGTCATAAGTGACTTTTCATTAGCATCACAAGTGGAGTTGAGGGCAGTGTGTGTTTGTCCCTAAAGCTGAACTCCAGGTGCACAGCTTAGCATGTCTTACCTGCCAAAAGGTTTGTAATTTTGTCCACCCAGTCCTGAGATTTACACAGCCCTGCCAGAGAGCATAGCCAGCCTGCGGCGGTGATTTTTTTTTTTCTTCAGATAAAGGCTCCTATATGATTGTCTAAAAAAGTTCCAAATCCAGTTGCTCTGTGATGTATACAAGCCTCATCAAGTAAACCAAAGCTTAATTTACTTTAGCTGTGTGAGCCAAGTCTTTCTTCATTTGTGTCTCAGACGCTTCCTTCCCCAGGCGCTGCAGCTCACAGTAGGAGGGTTCAGCAGCAGAGGCTGTGCTGTCAATCCAGACAGCATTGGGCGGGACTAGGTGTGGCTGGGTGCTGATTGGCATTCTTTAGGTTTGTGAATCAAGAGTGACAATGCTGATAGCCACGCCCCCTGCAACATCTCATCCCACTGTAGTGCAGGCAGGCAGGCACCGCCTACATGAGAATGACAACTCAGGAGCAGTGCAGCATCATTGCCTCACTATTACAGGAAGCTGCAATGTGTGGACGTCACTGGCAGGATCAAAAGATATTTGTGGGAGGTAGCAGAGAAATCTTCAAGGGCAGACTCACTTATATTTAAGTGCTGCACCCAGGGGCAGACTGGCAACTCATGGGGCCCCCGGGCAATAGGGGATCATGGGCCCCTGTGTCCTTGTCCAAACTCAAAAAAGCCTATGAAAAAGGTACCAGGGGCATCTCATGGGGCCCCCTACTGACCCCGGGCCCTCGGGCAGTGCCTGAGTTTCCAAATGGTCAGTCCGCCCCTGGCTGCACCACATCATTATTTTTTTAATGAGATGCCTTAGTTCTACTTTAGGCAACACAGCCTGGTCACTTCTCCACCCCCAGGCTGTGATTGGATATTGAAGGAGCAGCAAAAAGCTGAATAGGTCATCCTCCCTACTCCCTCTTCTTGTGAATGCAGATCAACTGATTGGTCCATTTGCTGCTCTCCCTCACCCAGTCTAAATGCTGATGTACAGGTATATTTAAGCGTCTAAAATGAAGTCAAACTCTGCTTGCTTTTTTTTTTTGTTTTTCTTTACAGCTCCATTTAAAATAAATCTAATTGAATTTTTAATATATAAATGCCTTCATTGGTATTTTTAATATCTGCCTGAAGTTCCGCTTTGAAGAGGACCTAGAATTATTCTCATTTTAAACCGTATCCATTTAGAGGGAGTTTTGATTGTTTTTTTTTTTTTTACAAAACATTTCTTGCATTTCATGTGCAAATTGTATTCTGGACCCACCGTGATTACATTTCCGTAGAGCTCCCAAAAAGAACATTTTTCTTCCATTTGTTGAAGGGACCACCTGAGATCTCCTTGATCTCTTTCGATTGGATTATAGCACCACCCTCAGGACACAAGACATAAAAGACAAGAGCAGCCTTGGGGCGGCCATGAGAGTGGCCAAACCCTCCCCCATCTGCTTGAGATAGGGGAGCGGGGGGCTGCCCTTTTTTGCCTGTTAGGTGTAAGCACCTAGGCTCCCTATTCGGAATCCTAGTTCCCTTCCTTTTTGCAGGGGAATGTTTTAATCCTTTTTTTTTTTTTTTGCCCTTAATGCCTCTTAAAGTGTTACAAACCCCACAACAGTAAAATCAGTCTGTATATACAGGAAACCATGCTTGTTATACTCACTGTGGAACCTAAGGGGTTAATCTTCTGCATTGTGTAAAAAGGCTGTTTGCTCCTGTCTTCTCTGATCTTCCCCCTCTTCTAATATCCCCAATCCATCTGCTGATAGAAGAGAGACTTGAGGGCAAACTGCACATGCTCAGCTTGGTGTGTATTGCTAGAGGGTTTTTTTTCTTTGGAGGATGCATGTGTTTAACACTTGGACAAACAGAGGGTCAGGGGTTATGCAGCCTCATAGGACAATCAGGGCAGAATGAAAACTAGTGTACTGCTGGACACTGATAGAAGTCACAAGACTGCTCTAACTGCTGATGAGAAAAGGTATTTAGCAGTTTATATTTACTAAAATAATTGCATTTCCATGTTCTGTGTACTGTGAGAGACCAGATATAGTGAATGCAGGGTCCTGGGAGACCAGATATAGTGAATGCAGGGTCCAGGGAGAGCAGATATAGTGAGTGCAGGGTCCGGGGAGACCAGATATAGTGAATGCAGGGTCCGGGGAGACCAGATATAGTGAATGCAGGGTCCGGGGAGAGCAGATATAGTGAATGCGGGGTCTGGGGAGACCGGATATAGTGAATGCAGGGTCCGGGGAGACCGGATATAGTGAGTGCAGGGTCCGGGGAGAGCAGATACAGTGAATGCGGGGTCCGGGGAGACCGGATACAGTGAGTGCAGGGTCCGGGGAGACCAGATACAGTGAGTGCAGGGTCCGGGGAGACCAGATATAGTGAGTGCAGGGTCCAGGGAGACCAGATATAGTGAATGCAGGGTCCGAGGAGACCAGATATAGTGAATGCAGGGTCCGGGGAGACCAGATATAGTGAATGCTGGGTCCGGGGAGACTAGATATAGTGAATGCAGGGTCCGAGGAGACCGGATATAGTGAATGCCGGGTCCGGGGAGACTAGATATAGTGAATGCAGGGTCCAGGGAGACCGGATATAGTGAATGCAGGGTCCGGGGAGAGCGGATATAGTGAATGCAGGGTCCGGGGAGACCAGATATAGTGAATGCAGGGTCCGGGGAGACCAGATATAGTAAATGCAGGGTTCGAGTAGAGCGGATATAGTGGTGCAGGGTCCGAGGAGACCAGATATAGTGAATGCAGGGTCCGGGGAGTCCAGATATAGTGAGTGCAGGATGCAGGGAGACTAGATACAGTGAATGCAGGATCCTGGGAGAGCGGATATAGTGAATGCAGGATCCTGGGAGAGCAGATATAGTGAGTGCAGGATCCGGGCACACCGGATATAGTGAATGCAGGGTCCGGGGAGACTAGATACAGTGAGTGCAGGATCCTGGGAGAGCGGATATAGTGAATGCAGGATCCTGGGAGAGCAGATATATAATGAATGCAGGATCCTGGGAGAGCAGATATAGTGAATGCAGGATCCTGGGAGAGCGGATATAGTGAATGCAGGGTCTGGGGAGACCGGATATAGTGAGTGCAGGGTCCGGGGAGACCAGATATAGTGAGTGCAGGGTCCGGGGAGACCGGATATAGTGAATGCAGGGTCCTGGGAGAGCGGATATAGTGAGTGCGGGGTCTAGGGAGACCGAATATAGTGAATGCAGGGTCCGGGGAGACCAGATATAGTGAATGCAGGATCCTGGGAGAGCGGATATAGTGAATGCAGGATCCTGGGAGAGCGGATATAGTGAGTGCAGGGTCCGGGGAGAGCGGATATAGTGAATGCAGGGTCCGGGGAGAGTGGATATAGTGAATGCAGGGTCTGGGGAGACCGGATATAGTGAATCCAGGGTCCGGGGAGACCAGATATAGTGAATGCAGGGTCCGGGGAGAGCGGATATAGTGAATGCAGGGTCCGGGAGAGCGGATATAGTGAGTGCAGGGTCCGGGGAGACCAGATATAGTGAGTGCAGGGTCCGGGGAGACCGTATATAGTGAGTGCAGGATCCTGGAGAGCGGATATAGCGAGTGCGGGGTCCGGGGAGACCAGATATAGTGAATGCAGGGTCCTGGGAGAGCGGATATAGTGAATGCAGGGTCCGGGGAGACCAGATATAGTGAATGCAGGATCCTGGGAGAGCGGATATAGTGAGTGCAGGGTCCGGGGAGAGCCGATATAGTGAATGCAGGGTCTGGGGAGACCAGATATAGTGAATGCAGGGTCCGGGGAGAGCCAATATAGTGAATGCAGGGTCTGGGGAGACCAGATATAGTGAATGCAGGGTCCGGGGAGACCAGATATAGTGAATGCAGGGTCCGGGGAGACCAGATATAGTGAATGCAGGGTCCGGGGAGACCAGATATAGTGAATGCAGGGTCCGGGGAGACCAGATATAGTGAATGCAGGGTCCGGGGAGACCAGATATAGTGAATGCAGGGTCCGGGGAGACCAGATATAGTGAATGCAGGGCCCGGGGAGACCGGATATAGTGAATGTAGGGTCCGGGGAGAGCGGATATAGTGAGTGCAGGGTCCGGGAGAGCGGATATAGTGAGTGCAGGGTCCGGGGAGACCGTATATAGTGAATGCAGGGTCTGGGGAGACCGTATATAGTGAATGCAGGGTCCGGGGAGAGCGGATATAGTGAGTGCAGGGTCTGGGGAGACCGGCTATAGTGAATGCAAGGTCCGGAGTTTAGGAACACTTTAAGTCCCGGAGAGACTAATAACTGGAAAGGAAGTGGATTGGCATCACATGATCCGCTAACTATTGAGTCTGCCAAACCTGGGCTGTACTATCAGTAGGTTGTGTCTTGATGCCGATTTGAAATCTGCAACATGAAGCAATAGAGGCCAGGTCACAATATGAGAGATTCTGATGGCTTTGGATAACTCTGTGTGCAAACATCTGATAGGATAATGGTAACTGATGGAGATTTTGTGCTGGATTTCTAAGTAATGCCCAAGTACAATTTTTTCCTGTTTTAGGTTTAATTCAAGGCAGTTTGTTTCCATCAGATAACTGGACTTGCAGGAGAATTGCACCAAGATTGCTTCACGTTGTCCTGTTTATTTCTTTTCTTTGCAGAGAGTAATTGAAGGCCAAGCAGAAAAGTTAAAGGACTTGGATAAGGAAATCCATAGCTTGCGGCAGACTGGGGAAGATGCAGATAATATAAAGAGCTCTCTGGAGTCACTACAGACCCGTTTGACTCAGTTGGAGACAATAAGTAAGACTGCTGCTGCATGGAATCCTGGTAAGGACAACCGGAAGATCTTAGCCTGACCCCCGGGATAGAAAATCTAAAGCCCCACCAAGGTTTTACCTCCCTTGTTTGGGTCCCTCTCGATTTGTCCCAGTGCTCACAGTTGAAATTATGAACGGGAACAGACCAGGAAATCCCTAAAGTGAAGACACTCATTCCGGTGACAGCTAAAATGGGGTGTCCCTTGCATTGGAGAGAACTTCTCTCCCTTCCTGTTGTGTCTCCAAACTATGGCCCTCCAGCTGTTGAAGTACTACAAGTCCCATCATGCCTCTGCCTCTGGGAGTCTTGTCTGGGGCTGTCAGTCTTGCAAGGCCTCTTGGGAGTTGCAGCTTCTGAACACCTGGAGGTCCATAGTTTGGAGACCCCTAGTCTAGGGGATAGGATGTAAAGGGAAATCTCCTCTATGGGAAAAAGTTAGCAGTAAAACCCCAACAGGGCTTACTTAGCCCACGGCTTAAAAATAAAAAGTTTTGGCTTTAGATACACCTTGTCTTGGCTTTAAATAATCATCACCATTCACAGTGCTGCTCTGCCAAAAGATAGACTGACTGAGATAAACCAAGGCCAGTTTTGTGTTTTGCGGACTAATCATGTGCTAGTATTCTTGGTTATGGTTAAAAGCACATTTGTCATCTAAAAATGTCTTATCTATCCCACCGCAGTGACTCAGATCTTCACCATCGTGCTGGAGGATTTTCAGCCTCTGACACTTCCTGGTGTGTCGGATCCCTCTGTTGCTCACTGTATGCTATGTTTCTATCCACGAACAGCTGTAGTGACATGGAACCACAATATGCAGCGGGAGGGACACAGACAATCTGACACACAAGGAAGTGCTGAATATTCTTTGTTCATGTATCTTTAATACTGAACTCCATAAAGACAAACTACCCTTGCAGCAGGGCCGCAATGTTCTTTAAAGGGTGCCGTGATGAAGAGATGACGCAAAGATGATAAGACTTGTAATGCCCGAATGGTAATAGCCTTGGTAGGTTCAGGTAAATGGATGACGAACCCACATTTAGTATGGCTGCTACAACTCTGGGTAATTAGACCGCGGGCATCCTGAAGAGTGTATAGGTAGCAGGAAAGAAAGAGAGAGTGCCACCTTCTAAGTGTAGTTTTTTTAGTAAACCCCCAAAAAACAAATTGATAATTATGCACTCACTGTGTAAACCCATAATGCACAGTGAGCGCATAATTTATCCATTTTTTTTTAATGGGTTTACTAATAAAATACACTTCATAGGTGGAGCCCTCTTTCTTTCTTGTTCATTAACGGTGCACTCAGACTGGCACTTGAACCATTCTTGGGCATAGTTTATCCCTTGGGCTGGTTCTTTTGTGTAGTCTGTGTTCCAAACAGTACTCAGGATGGCTTAAGTCCACCAAGCCCAGAACCACTTGGAAGAGATTGTCTGGGGCATGGTTCAATTGTGGTCCAGTACAATGTGCTTCAGTTTGAGGGCAAACCATGCCAGAGAACTCTGCATACAGGGCAGTGCAGTGAAGCATGGATGAAGGGTCTGGTTAGCAGAGAAGTGTGCCCAGGGACAGTTCCTTACAGTGAAGTGTGAGTGCAGACCAGTGGGGGAAGAGCGAGAATCAAACTCAGGCATGGTTAGTTTAACTGGCCCCAATGTGAGTGCACCCTTGGGCTAGGGGTGCAAGGATAAGGTGCATTACTTACCCTGTCCCTTGCTCCAGAGTGTGTACTCTTCAACCCAAAACCCTGTGGCCTGTCCCTCTGTACCATCAGACTATTAACCTTGCAGTGTATATGAGGAGATGCACCCATAGCACCACATTGATGGAAGGAGCCTGCCAGAGCCAGGGGTACGGGAAGTGTTACACCTTATCCCTGCACCTCTAGACTAAGCAAGCATTTTATCCCTTGCAGTGCATAAGGTGCGGTCATCCAGTTCGCAGGGCAAAGATGCCAAAGTGCTCCCCCCTTCCTTCATGATGTGCAAACTTAGGGGATCCTTTGCACAACTGTCACTTGTCAAAATCACTGTGCAGTTCGTGATCTGTCAGTCAGGTTTTTCATTCATCTGGAAGTGCAGTTTTTCCAACCACAAGAGACAGGAAGGAGGAGAACACAGCCCGCACCACATCCTGGCTCTCTCCTCACCACTCCCAGCACTGGGCTGACAGGAGTAGTGATGCTGCTGTTGCTACTCCTGTCAGCCTTGTAACAGAAGAAAGGCGCCCCCATCCCTACAATAAACCATTGCACCCAGGGCAGCTGTCCCTCCCACCCACCCCTTGTCCCTCCCACCCACCCCTTGTCCCGGCCCTGGTGAAAAGGGTAGATTTTGTCTAATTCCTAGAGTTCAGCTTTAATATCTCTACAATAGATGTTCACATTTTTATACTGTTCTTCCTTGTTCTTTTAGGTGTCCTGGAGACCCAGATTAACAGACATGACCAGATGTTGAGCGTTCATGACATCCGCCTGGCCGACATGGACCTCCGGTTCCAAGTCCTGGAGACCGCGAGCTACAATGGCATCTTGATCTGGAAAATTCGCGATTACAAGAGGCGGAAGCAAGAGGCCGTTATGGGAAAGACATTGTCTCTGTACAGTCAGCCATTCTACACCGGCTACTTTGGTTACAAGATGTGCGCCAGGGTCTACCTGAATGGAGACGGCATGGGGAAGAATACCCATTTATCACTGTTCTTTGTCATCATGAGGGGAGAGTACGATTCTCTGCTTCCTTGGCCGTTCAAACAGAAAGTAAGCCTCATGTTAATGGACCAGGGACCGTCACGCCGCCATCTTGGCGATGCCTTCAAGCCTGACCCCAACAGCAGCAGCTTCAAAAAACCCACAGGGGAAATGAACATTGCCTCCGGGTGCCCCGTGTTTGTTGCTCAGACGGTGCTGGAAAATGGGACGTACATAAAAGACGATACTATTTTTATTAAAGTCATAGTCGATACATCAGACTTGCCGGACCCTTGATAGAAGGCAGCACCAAGTGCTGTTTTTAGAAGGAAAGAGCAGCTTGGGGTTTTTTTACAATCTGTCTCGAAAATAAACAAGAGGTCCCCAGACTTGGAAGTGGACCCCTTGGCGCTGGAACCGCAACCAGATGGAACCAAGGACCCCGGGGGAGGGGTCCGACGCACAAGACCGCGACATTCTGTGCAAAGATTGACCTCTTTATTGTTACACGGAGAATGTTGGAATTGTTAATGATTGAAGAGTAGTTTCACCCTTGTGCTAACTGAGGTTTAAGTTGTGAGGTTTTATTTATTTATTTTTTAAATTGTTTTGGTCCGAGGTTGGGTAAGGAAGGGGGTTGGTGGGGAGGGGGATTTCGGCGGGGACAATAAATGAGCATAGTTTGTGACACATTTTGCTCAGGGGGTACCCGACCGAAAAGGGATATATATATATTTTTTAATCTGTCCAATAGTATCAAAGCTATATTCGTGATTTTTTTTGTTTTTCAGAACAAGTGGTAGCCACTGCGTTTTGCATATGATCTCTAGATAACATCCCAATTTCCCCCCATCAGGAAGTATGAAAGGATAGCTAAACCCAAGAACAAAAATGTGATATGTTGCAGCCAGACCTTAGACATAGTGGCTGTATTCGTTTTCCTTTTTTCAGGCTAAGGACATTTTCAGCAAGCACATAAAATACCTGTTGATCTTGCCAGAAATGCTGTGTACTTGTCACTTCTTGCGAGATGAACCGGAAGCATAAAACAATGTTGTCTTCCTTTTGTAAACTGCTAATCTCCCCATTCCCCATGTAATGGAGATGAACAAAGGCAGACATGTTTGTAGTCCAGTGTGGGTGACAACCATGGCCTCCCCCATAGATACACTAGAGGAGTGAGTGAGCTTTGTCACGCTAGGACAGTGCATGTGGTTTTCGCAGAATTAGCAGGTGCAAATAAAGGGAAAGGACCAGTAAGTTGTAATAAATTAATTTTTTTTGTTTTTTGGGTTTAGATACGTTTTGACCCTTTGCCAGGCTTGAGCTTCGTGAATGATTTGACTTGTAAGGGTAAAGCAGTGGATCGTTATTGGACTACATGGTTGCACAAATGGCACCTAATCACAGTCTTTGGGCAATAAGGGAAGGGGTTCCCTTGCTTTCTGCTGCCATGTGGCTTGACTGATAAACGCCCCATTGTTCAACCTTTAAGGACTAAAAATTGTCCTAAACCAGCACCATGGTGTGCTAATATGTCAAAGTGTCGCTGGTGTTGAAACCATAAAGTCCCAAGAAATGTTTATTGCAACTCTGTCTATAAATACATGTAAAAGTTCCACAGGTGTATTAGAAAAGAGCGCATTTGATGTAATGTTCTGATCCTGAGGGTAGACGGTTAGCTCCTAATGTTGACTAGCTGTCAATTATCCTAATGAAGGACACTCCACCACATTCTCCTTATGGGAAAATTGGGTCTCAACGTCAAATCGCTCAAGTTCTGATTGGACACAGGAACTTTTACACATTTGAAGGTTCTAAAAACTCATTTGGCCTTAGGGGGAGGGGTCATCTCCATATTTAGTCCCAAGTTTCATTGTCGCCAGTATCCATTTATTGCAAAAACCCATATAGTTCCATGAATACCAATTTTCCCTTTTCATTTAACATGTCTTTTTTTTTTTTTTTTTTCTTCATTTTCTGCTGGTGATTATGAGAAAAACAAGAAGCAGATTGGTTGCAGCTACTACAGCAATTCATCTGTCACAATTAGAGATGAGCCAATTGATTCAACAATCTGGGGATTTTGGCTGTTCCCCTTACATGGTGGAATATTTGAATATTTGCATGCAGGTTTGTGCGATCTGCAGAGAATTGCTCCATTTGATAATGCAGACGATTGCTGATCATGATCGTTCTAAAAGCCGGTGGAGCCAGTCGCCTGATTCCTGAATAGGTTGGCTCATCTCTGGTCGTAATATTTCACTTTTGAAATGTAAAAGCAGCTCCATGATGTCGTACGTTTATGACACAATTACCAGTTATTACATTTTAAGATCATTCTTCGATGCTGTGCATCATTGCCTTTTGCCATATCACCCTAAACTAGGGCATCTGTCTGTTGAACTGTCAGGTTCTCAATAAATACAAATGAAGTTTCTCACTCTGCATCCAAGTCATTCAGCTTCCATGTGTGATATTGCATTTCATCTGTTCATCTTTTAAGAAAGGTCATCCGTTTGTTATGTTGTAACTATCTGTTTGGTTATCTTGTGCTTCTAATTGTCCTTTGGTGGTCCCAAGTGCTGGCATTTTGCAGAAGGTGCTATAAACTTCTGGAGAACATTCTGTAGACACAGATCCAGGGCCTTGCTAAATGGTTTATTAGAGAAATGGACACTAGAGGGGAGTAAGCACCTGTGAGCTGGAGTTCACGGTTATAGAAGTTCTTGATAAATGGGTGAATACAGCCACAAAACCATAGTAGCAGGGGTCTAATTAATCTAAGGAGGATCTAAAATACAAGGTCCACTTAGTTGGAAGCCCCAACCCCCTAATTACTCTTCAAGTTCTTCCCGTTTCCTGTAGCTAATCCCATGGAGCCTAATAGTCCTTTGGTTGTCTCAAATGCTGCCATTTTGCATGTTACCATTGAGGAGCTATAACCCTCTAAGAATTTTCTGTAGACACTACTGCAGGACCTCTCTAAATGGTTTACTGGAGAAGTGGACTTTGGAGGAGTAAGCACATACGAGCTAGAGTTCAGGATGGTAGAAGTGCTTGATAATTGGGTGAATTCAGCCATGAAACCATAGTAGCACGAGTCTAATTAATTTAGGAAAGAACTAAAATACAAGGTCCACTTAGTTGGCAGCCCCCCCACCCCAAGGTTACTCCTCTGTCTGTTTCCTGTAGCTGATGTCATGGGACGTCAACGAGGGATCCTGGGAAAGCTAAAGATACTCTGGCACTATTCAGGAACACATTCTCAAAAGAATTTGGAATACTCCGCTTTCCCAGGATTCCATGAGAAGACCTAAAAAAGTCACCTTACCTTGGCAAGCCTACTGGAAGGTAAGGTGAGCATTATTACATTTTTTTAAAAATGGTTTTTGCATTTTTGTTGTAAGGATGGGGGTTGCCACATAGCAGGACCAGGGGCGGACTGACCATTCGAGCACTCGGGCACTGCCCGAGGGTCCGGGGTCAGTAGCGGGCCCCATGAAATGCCCCTGGTACCTTTTTTATAGGCTTTTTTGAGTGTGGGCAAGGACACAGGGGCCCCATGATCCCCTATTGCCCGGGGGCCCCATGAGTTGTCAGTCCGCCCCTGAGCAGGACTTTTGTATTTGAATAAGGCAACATCTGAATTTTGCAGCAAACCTTTACAAGGCCTGCAGAGGTCAAGTATGGGTTTTAAAAAAAAAACTTGGAGGGGGTTCTAGCTCCACTGGTGCCACATCCCATTTCAAGAGATTAATGAAAAGCCAAAAACCAGCGGGCTTTTAGGGCATCGGCACTCATAAACACATACATAAATAATTTTTTTATATATGTGTTTATGGGTTCCTTAAAAGGCCACTGGATCCTTAATTTTTGTTCTTTTTAATAACCTCATGGTTCATGGGTTTAGGAAAATGAAACAGGAGCCGGGAAGAGCCTGAGTGTTTTGCAGGGTACCTATGTATATGCTGGTCTACAGTTTGCTCATGGCAATATGTCGTTTTGTTTTCCCCAAAGGCCATTATAGAACAAAATGGGTAAAAGAAAAAATACTACTTGCTGTTTGATGGTTTGAACTATTCATTTTTATAATATCTCAAAGGTATAGTTATCACATTATACAAAAGTGTATATGTAGCCAATGTTTCTACTGAATGTAGCTTTATATATAGAGCTCTAGTCAGTAGCATCATCAACACCCAATCCAAGCTATAACGAAGGATCGCTTCCAACAGTCAGCTATTGCAGTAGTGACTTAAAGTGGAACTTTAACAAAAATGGTGATCAGGCAGGATTTTTAATGCAGAAGAGACCTACTATGGGGGTTATTTACTAAAACTGAAGAGTAAAAAAAAAAAAAAAAAAACTGGTGCAGCTCTGCATAGAAACCAATCAGCTTCCAGGATTTATTGCCAAAGCTTAATTGAACGAGCTGAAGTTAGAAGCTGATTGGCTGCCATGCACAGCTACATCAGACTGTGGGTACACCAGTTTTAGTAAATCTCCTTCTATGTCTCTTCTATGTTTCTTACCTGCCTGTGTGCACTGTACATTAAGCTGTGTACTTAAAGTGGAACTTCACTCTCTCAATCAATATTGACCATTTTTAATCCTTATGCTGCTAGCCTTAGTAAATAGATAGGAAAGTATATCATATTTGCGTGTTTTAAACTTCTTTTTTTTTTTTTGTGCATTTCTTCAGTTACTTCCTGGTTTTCTACTTAGGCAAATTATGTCATACATCCCAGGGGTCTTCAGGAGGGAGGGATCTCAGCTCAGCCAGTGCCTGAGCTAAGGGCTTATGGATTCCAGGAAATAAATGCTACATGAATCCTCTTCCCTTACTCAAGATGGCCACTGCCAGAAATGCCAGGGGGTGTTTTTCAAAATGATTTCTCAGCAGAATAAAGCATGGAGACATGGATGGATGGGGGAGTTTGCTTTGCATATTTAACAATGAATGACATAGCATTTTTGGTTTGTGGTGCTCAGATGCAGTGCAGTTCCACCTTAAACTCAGTTTAAAATTTCGACAGTTATGAGATAAATGAACTCCCGCGCAGGGGCGGACTGACCATTTGGAAACTCGGGCACTGCCCGAGGGCCTGGGGTCAGTAGGGGGCCCCATGAGATGCCCCTGGTACCTTTTTCATAGGCTTTTGTGAGTTTGGGCAAGGTCAAAGGGGCCCCATGATCCCCTATTGCCTGGGGGCCCCATGAGTTGTCAGTCCGCCCCTGTCTATGGCTAATTGTACCAAGTTGCTGCCCCATCTGTGGCATCTGGGGTGCGAGCA